AAAAATTGTAAGTTTTTTTTTTTTTATTTTTAGTGTTGGGTTTTAGTAATTGTAAAATTTAAGGAAACTAAAATTAAAAACAAAAAAAAAAACATAACTATACTACACCAAGCAAAGAGAAAATGACAAAAGCTATAACCCTTCAAAACTTGATGGGTTGGCCACCCAAAATTCAGCATGCCTTAGCATGCTGCTCTCGACCCGCCATCCATGCCTCAAGCCACCCCCTTTTACACCTTCTTGCCTTCCATTGTGTAGCTAGCATTGCCTTTAGGATATGTTTGATTTGAGAAAAACAGTGGGGAGGAATGAGTTTTTTAATCAATCAAATTATAATATTTTTAAATATTGAAATTAGATTGATAAAAAAAATCCATCCTTCCGTTCCCCTCACCTCCCCTTCATTTCCTTCAAACGAAACATACCATTAGGGATTTTGCACACAACTCTTTAGAAGATTAAAGCCAATGCCCCTATCTACCTTTAATCCAAGGAAGGCACTTGTGCCACTTCTTTTCCCGTCACAACGATCAGCACACCAACCTAACCCTCCATCCATCGAGCAATAGTAAGCATAGGTTGGCACCAACAATAGTCCTAGCTGCACACTTTAGCACCCCAAGATCAGAACTTTATGACATTGCCATACAGACCTTCAATGCATTACACCAAAACCCCATACTAAATGAGAAAACAATGTCCCACTAGGGAATGACTTTGTTCTTGGGGACTAACCACCTTCAATGGTGGACTCACACTTTTACATTACACAAAGCCCTGGACTAAAAAGAGCGTCATGCTTATAAAATTATTCTTTAATTTTGAGACCATGCAAGTTAATGTGAAAAACATTGTAACTATTATAAGAATTAAACAATTTTCAATTAATTTTAAGTTAAACCAAAGATGTAAAAAATACTTTATATAGAGAAAGGACATTCATATTTTCATTAATCCCTTTTTTAAAGTAGAGGAAGTAGAGAATGAAGAAATTAGAAAACTAAAGATATGTTGGTTCGATATCAACAAGAGATTAGGGTGTCTGGGGAAGAGAAAAAATTTAGTAGAGGGGAAAAGAGGTAGAGGAAATTAATGGAAAAAGTGCAAAATCTTATTCCAGATTGGTCTACCCATGATGTTAACGTGGATGACTTACCTAAATATTTTTGAATCTCCAAATATCTCTTCTTTAAAAATCCTAATCATAATTTTAATTCTTGTAAGATTTTCATACAAGTTAGATATTAATGCACCCATAACTAATGTCTAAAGAGTATAGATTAGACAAACCCTTAGATAATACAACCTTTTAATTCTTGTTTTCTTTTTCTTTTTTTCCTTTTTTTTTTTTTGGTAAGAATTTAATTCTTGTTTTCTACTTTCCTCATTCCCTCCTTTCTCCACTCTAAAATAAAAATGAAATAATTGATACACTTAATATGCAATAAGTAAAACTCTATGCATAAAAACAACTAAGTAAAACTCTATGACACAAGAAATAGTTAAGGTTGTGTTTGATAACATCTTTCCATATTTTACATTTTAGTTTTTATTTTTTTATTATTTTAAAAATATATAAAATATTAATTAAAATAAATATTAAATATATTATCTGA